TGTGTCTGTCTCTGTGTGTCTGTGGTGTGTGTGTGTGTCTGTCTGTCTGTGTTGTGTGTGTGGTGTGTCTGTGATGTGTCTGTCTGTGTGTCTGTGTGTCTGTGTGTACTGCAGACCTCAATGACGTTGGAGTCTGGGAAGCCAGGAAGCCGCTGGTCCTTGCAGATGACCCCGGCGTCCTCGTCGTGGGTACAGTCGCTGTTCCCCCAGCCCCGGGAGGCACACTCTGCCACACTTCCCTCAGTCCCACTGCAGCTCAGATTGTCCAGCCAGATCCTGCCTGTGGAGAGGAAGATGAGCAGACAGAGAAGCGCTAGAGGACGAAGGATGAGGGACTGATGGGGCTGGAGGGGCAGCATGGTGGCCTCAGGTGGCCTCGAGGATAATCCTTCTTTTTTGATGAGAAAAAAGGATGGAGATGGGACAGGGGGCTCTGGAGGGGAGGAGGAAAGAGGGTCTAGGGTTGACACAAGGTTAGGGTGGTCTGGGACACTGAAGAATTAATTAGGGTGAATTACCCTAGAATTAACATTTAAGTTCTCATCGATATCAATAAGAATCCATTCAATAATAGCCATAATTGAGTACTATGTGCCAAATGCTTTGCCACAGTATGTCCACACTTAATCTTTCTTAGGCTGGAGCAGCCAGAAGACCACTTATGTAAACAGACTGGCGCTCAGAAACATGATGTAACTTCCCTAAGAGTTGGACCTCTCACTGAGACTTGGGAATCTTAGATTTTCCACTGATGCTCTCGCCTCTGGCAGTCTCCTGTATGCCTATTTTGCCTGCCACAGAAACTCCATTTGTACTTTCTGGACCATAGTGAGTATCACTGAGCACTCAAAACTGGAGGAGCCTCCTGAGAGGTGTGTGTCCCAGTGGCTCGGGCGCCTCACCTAGTCTGACAGAGCTCACCCTTCTGTCCACAAGCCACATAATGATCAGAAAGCCCTTTCCCTACCAGGTCTGATCTGGTCCTTTGATGTCACCCAGAAAACTCTTCAGCCACGACCGTCCTTCCCAAATTTGAACACAACCAGCATGTAATTACTAAGCGAGGCTTTTTTTGTTTGTTTGTTTCTGTGCCAAACTTTTGGTTTCTTTAGCTGTTCCTCCTGAAACGTGGCCTCTGAAAGTGCTTTCATCCCCCATTCTCCTCTCTCCCTTCTCCCCTCTCTCTGTTGCTGTCTGTCTGTCTGTGTCTGTCTCTCTGTCTCTCCCTTCTCTCTGGAAAAGTGAGTGTAGGGTGAGCATTCGACCTAAAAGCATTCCCACTTTCTACTGTCTGGCTCAAAGTGTGCTATCTCCAAATGAGCCTTTATCTCAGGAGTGGTGGGGCCAGCGGGAGCAGGGGTCGGTAGCAGGCTGTGCCCCTCAGTCCCACTGTGGCTCTATACCGCGTGAGCTCTTCCAGCCTCAGAGGACTGTGCCCCAGCCCTCACACTCGTACCTGCCCTAAAGGAGTTCCAGCTTGTCTATTAGCTCTGGCCTGGATCCTGGTTTTGTCAGCTGCAGTACATGGCCCCTTCCAGCTATGGAACATGCAGACACCATTCACCTGCTCACACATTCTCATCCAGACTCCTGCACCTGGACCTTCAGGGCTCTCCAGCACTGGGCTGTCCTTTTTCGTGGCTCTGCAGAATCTTACTTTGCAGAAGAGAACTTCTCAACCCCCTCATCATTGTGCATATGGGACACTGGAGGCTCATGGGAAGGACTAGCTAGCTTCAGGTCACATGGCCCTGAAATTGCTGTTAGATGGTTTATTATCTGTGGGTTTGCTTAATTCTGTCCATTCTTGGTGTCCCATCTCCCTTTGGCTGTACCACTGTGGTATTCTCTCCGCACTTGGACCGCACTTAGGTAACAGGGCTATCCCAGAGCATCGCTCACCTGTCCCTGGGCCGTATTTGGCACTATGGGTCCAGCCTGTGGCTTCTGTGAAGCCCAGCTCCCGGCAGAGGACATGGGCAGCCTGCAGCGTGAAGTCATCGTCACAGACAGTGCCCCATTCACCGGCTCGCTGTATCTCCACGCGGCCCTCGTAAGGCTTTCTAGGAAAGCCAGCCAGCCGGAACCTCAGCCCCTGGCTTCCGGGCTTCTTCTCTGGGTTGGTAGGAGGGGATGGAGACCCCACACCGGAGCTGCACAGAAAGTGCAGCAGCAGCAGTCCCCATGGGCAGCAATACCACACACTGACAGCTCTCATGGCAGGCAGAGCCCTGGGGTGGGGGGCACTGAAGGACAGAGAGGAGAGGTACACAGTAAATGAGGGTAGGGGCACAAAGAAAACAGGCACAGCCTTGGAGACCTAGATTGGAGGTGAGGGAGGGAGACTTGTTCCCTTTTGCTGATAATAAGATGTATAACTAGTTGTTCTGTTCCACAATGCTCTTCTCTAGTTTGGCCATCATTATCACCATTACCATCATCTCTATTTCCTCTCATTCATGGGGTGGGTACTCTTGGTACAGACCAAGAGTCTGAGGATGGTCCAGATAAATAGGGATAAGGAGAAAAGACACACAGAGAGGACCACCCATTCAGACAGGATGTGAGAGGAAGAAAGAAAGTGGGAACGAAGTGGGGGAAACAGAAAGACACAGGGTAAGAGACAGTGAATATGGCCAGACATAGTATTGGAGAGTGACACAGAGACGCAAAAACCATGAGGAGAGGGAATAAGAGCCAAGGTGCAGGCACAGGAGAAATGACAGGACGACCTATGCAGTCAGACAGCACTGCAGGCAAGGGGAGCCTGTGAGACCAGAGCGGGGAAATCTCTGAGCTATGAATGGGAGGACTATTAGCAGTTTCCTCTGGAAGCAGAAGCCCAGGCAGGAAGGGCTGAGGCTAACGGGAGTAGGGGAATCTTGTGCCTCCCTCCCTAGCACATGGGATCACAGGAGAAGGGGGGCTCTAGGAGAGCTTCAAGCTGGGCAGGCTTTGGTGAGGGGTTGTCCAAGCTTCCTGTAACACCACTGTTTCTGTCACCGGGCAACCAGAAGCTAGGGCCGACTCCTCAGCTCAGGCCTTCTCTATCCAAGGCTGAAAACAGTCCTCCACAGCAAGGGGGCCCCTGAATTGCTTCCCCCAACTCAGACAAGACAGCTTTGTTCTGGGAGCCTTTGGCTTGGAAGCCCTGGTGTCCGGCAGCCTCCAAACGGCACCCTGAAACCTCCATCCCCAGTATCTGCTCAGCAAACCATTCTTGTGTTTCGTTCTTTTAGCAATAATAAAACTGTCAGTTGTCTGGCTTTCCGGACTTCATCCTAAATCAGCTTTCCTCCGGGTCCACCATCCTCTCCATCCCCAGCTCCTCTTCCCCCTGGCCGGCAGTGACTCCCCTACCTTCTATAGGCAGCGCTCCAGAGGCTGGAAGCGGCGTCCTGGTCCTGGAGATTAGTTTTAGGACTTAAAAAAAAAAAAAAAAAGTTCGGCCAGGGGAGAGTAGATCCCCCTTTCCTCCCCCCTCTTCGTTGGTTCCTCCCTCGTCCCCTAGAGCCCTCCCACATTCCGCTTTCTCCCTCCATTCCGGCCAGGCCAGTTCCCTCCTCTAGATCGTCCCCTCCCGCGTGGAGCAGGCTGCAGCCGCGCCACCCCTCCCACCCCTCCCGGCTCAATGAAGCCTTCTTTTCCCGTAGGTTGGAGGCCCGGCGGCAGCCGCGTTCAGGATGCTGGACTTGCAAAAGGTTTCGGGACCGCAGGATGGCCCCTGTGGCGGCGGGAAGCTTTCCAGCCTCAAGCCATGCCTTCGCATCCCCAGCTAGGCAGAGCGTCAACAATCCAACCTAACCCCGGGGCTGGGCCCTGGGAGCAAGTCCCTCAAGGGGAACTAATGTCCTGAGGTCTCCCTTGGTCATTATGGTGCCCCGGGGTGCCTGAGGGTGATGTCACGACCTTCACTCTGATGTCACGGTAATCCTATGACATCACTCTCAGCCTCTGCTCCCAGGCACCGGGACCCCTGGCTGGCAATCACGGCTTCCCTGAGTGGCGCCACCGGGCGTGCGGTGTGGTCAAGGGACGGGTCGGCTATTCCGGGGACCCGGAGTTCTTCCCGCCCGCTCCTCTTCCTCCCTCTCCCTCCCCACGCCGGCCCCTGGGCCGCGGCAGGGGCCCGGGAGGGGCAGGCACGCCTCCGGCCCCTGCAGCCCCGCCCCGCCCCGCCCCCTGCCCTCAGTGCCAGGAAGCGCGGAAGCAACCGCTTGGGGCCATGGACGGGGCTGTGATGGAGGGTCCGCTCTTTCTGCAGAGTCAGCGCTTCGGGACCAAGGTAGGGTGTGTTTGAGGGTCTGTGTGTGGCGCGGGGCAAGCGAAGCCCCTCTGGACTGGGAGTGGGCGAAGGGATCCCGAGAGAGAGAGAGAGAGCGGGCCGGAAGCAGGTCCCGGCGCTGCGCGGGCCGCTGTAAAGCCCCGGGACGTTCCCTGGAAGTCCCGGGCCGTGCCCTCCTTGGTGCGGGGTTGGGATGACATTCTCTTTGGGAAAGTGTCCCTGGCTGGGAAGTCCCAGCTCCGATCGGCCTGCGTGGGTCTCTCCTTCCTCGTGGGGGCGCGTGCTGCCGCGCTCTCCCGCGCACTCCGCGCCTCTCGTTCTTTTCCAGAGGTGGAGGAAAACCTGGGCTGTGCTTTACCCAGCCAGTCCCCACGGCGTAGCGAGGCTGGAGTTCTTTGATCACAAGGGGTCGAGCTCGGGAGGCGGTCGAGGCGGCTCCCGCCGTCTGGACTGCAAGATGATTCGCCTGGCCGAGTGTGTGAGCGTGGTCCCCGTGTCCGTGGAGAGTCCCCCCGAGCCGGGCGCCGCTGCCTTCCGCCTGGACACCGCGCAGCGCTCGCACCTGCTGGCGGCGGACGCCCTGTCCAGCGCCGCCTGGGTGCAGACTTTATGCAGAAACGCCTTTCCGGTGAGGGGCTGGGGCTGAGCGGCCTTGGGCCTAGGGGTCGCTGAGAGCATGGGGCCATTACGGCGGCAGTGGACTGTCTGCAACTACCCTGGACCCAAGGGAATTATTTATAAGATCCCCTGGACTCTTTTTTTTTTTTTTTTTTTCCTGCAGAAAGGCGGCTGGGCATTGGCCCAGACAGAGAACCCACCTAAGTTTTCTGCCCTGGAGATGCTGGAGAATTCGCTCTACAGCCCCACCTGGGAAGGTAGATGTCTGGCAGGAATGGAGTGAGGTGAAGGGGTGCTCTTGGGAGTTGGTGCTTGGATTCTTCCGAGCCCCCTAACTTGCCTTCCCCTTTCTTTGTGTTCCTACCAGGATCCCAGTTCTGGGTAACCACGCAGAAGACTGAGGCTTCGGAACGCTGCGGCTTGCAAGGCTCCTATATACTGAGGGTGGAGGCTGAGAGGCTGACCCTGCTGACATTGGGGGCCCAGAGTCAGATCCTGGAGCCGCTCCTTTTCTGGCCCTACACTCTTTTGCGACGCTATGGCCGGGACAAGGTGCAGGGGCTTGTCAGGGAGGGCTACGGGGTTGGGGAGCTGTAGGTGAGCAGTTCCATTCGAAAGTGGTCCCGTCTCTGCAGATACACTAACTTGGTCTGACCTGTGGCTCATCTCTTAAGACAGCCCTAACTTGTTTCCCTCCACACCCTCAGGTCATGTTCTCTTTTGAAGCGGGTCGCCGCTGTCCCTCTGGCGCTGGAACCTTCACTTTCCAGACTGCACAGGGAAACGACATCTTTCAGGCAGTCGAGGCTGCCATCCAGCAGCAGAAAGCCCAAGGAAAGGTTGGACAGGGACAGGGACAGGGACAAGATATTCTCAGAACTGACTCCCATGAAGGGGAGACAGAGGGGAAGGTGGTTTCCGCTCCCATTTCCCAGGAGTCCCCAGGCAGCTGCCCAGCCCTATACGCTGAGCCTTTAGACTCCTTGCGAATCCCTCCAGGCCCTTCTCAGGACTCTGTGTATTCAGACCCCTTGGGCAGCACCCCTGCTCAGGCAGGGGAGGGGGCACATTCAAAGAAACCTCTCTACTGGGACTTGTATGGACATGTGCAGGAGCAGTTGCTGAAAGCCAAGCTGACAGACTCCAAAGAGGACCCCATCTATGATGAACCTGAAGGCCTGGCCCCAGCCCCTCCCCGGGGCCTTTATGATCTGCCTCAGGAGCCTAAGGATGCATGGTGGTGCCAGGCTCGGCTGAAGGAAGAGGGCTATGAGCTCCCTTACAACCCTGCCACTGATGACTATGCTGTGCCACCTCCTCGCAGCTCCAGCTCGAAGCCTGTCCCTGCTCCCAAGCCACAGGGCTTGCTCCTTCCAGACCCTGGTGCCACAGGTGGCAGTAGCAGCAAAGGCCACAGCTCAGATACAGCTCTTTACAGCCAGGTCCAGAAGAGCGGGACCTCAGGGGGTTGGGACTGTGGGCTCGCTAGAGTAGGCAATGACAGGACTGGGGTCAAGTCAGAGGGCTCCACCTGAGACAGTTGCTGACAGGAGGTCCATGGGGAGGTGGCATGAAAATCAAGGAAACCTGTTTTAACTTAACCACAGGAACCAGAGGGTGGGAGGGGCCTACGGTAAGAGCAGGGGACCAGAGGGGGCAAGGGATGACCAACCCCAGTAAGTCATAGGAAGTAGAACAGATGACAAGGCCAAGAGGTAGGCTCTGGGGAGGCTCAGCAGTGCTAAGGAACGGCTAGCTGGTGGACTGGGCCTGTGGACTGGGCCTGTGGAATGGGCCCACTGGTCAGAGTGGGTGTGCTTTGGGGAGCCCACTATGGATCCTTGCTCTTGTATTGTTCTTTGCCAGGTGTATTTTTTAATTTATAACAGATCTCATTAAAGCCAGCTTGGGTTGAAAAGGTCTTTGTGTGTGAATAGACATAGCGGCAGCATGTTCTGGGTGCGTGTGGAGGGATCAAGAGAAGAACCAGATCTATGTCGGGGACCATGGAAGGAGGGAAGGGTCCAGGGAGGAAAGCCTACAGTGTGCTGACTCAGATCCGGCCTGGGTGGCCTCTAACTCGACTCTGGCTCAGTCGTCTGTCATCTGCTTAACTCTCCTCTGCTTTCTTTCCACCAAGTGTGAGAATTTGTCTCTGCCTCCAAAGGCTGCTTGCAGGAAATGGACCCTCCCAAGCACCTGCTAGGATCTAAAGTGTAGGGAAGGCACTTTGCACATGGCAGCCATTTTCCCTGTGCTTCAAGGGCTCCGACAGGAAGGTGGGCAGGTGTGGGCAGAGGGGATGAGGAAGGGAGTAGGCTTCTTTCACACCCTCCACTCCCTCTGCTGGCCACACAACAACACCCTGTCCCTCAACATACACAGAGGTTTGCCCAGTGCTCCTGTGTCTGAAGCTGAAGGAAACTGCTGTGGGTGGTCTGGGCAAGGTACCTTTCTAGACCAGGGTTCAAGTTCTAATGTCTTGATTTTTCTGAGCTGTGAAAGCTCATCCTTATCCTTGAGTTGCAGTTTCCCAGGGGTGACCTGGCCTCACCTACCTTCTCACACAGAGCTGCAGTAGAAGAAATTCTGGCCTAGGAATGCTCCCAACAATGGTAGAGGCTTACTGGGCGTTTAGTTATTTGTGTCAATACTATCAAATGACCCAGAAGAGAGTCCCTGCCAGACAAAAGACGGGCCTGGGTGTGCTCTGAGTTGGGCAACAGCACTTGTGGGAACTGAGGAGGGAGAGGCTGTTTCTTAGCCTGAGCTCACGCTCAGGTGCAGGCTGACAGCCCTCAGGCAGCCACCCTGTGAGTGCCGGTGTGGGTGTGATACGGCCTTGCTCTGGGCTGGGGACTTAGGTGTGAGAAGGGAACTCCTCCTCTGAATCAGAAGGCACCAAGTTTCCCGAGAAAGCTTTGCTGGCTGCCGAAGTCTTGGGAGCTCTACCTGGGGCTGAAGTCACTGGCAGGGGGACAATTGTGGCTCGAACTTTGTTGGTCTGTGGTTGCCCGGCCTGCAAAGAACAACCAGTCTTCTATGAAGACCAGACAGTTTCTGAGTTCCTGTCCCTGTCCCTGTTCCCTGCCAGACTCTAGTCCCAATTCCTTCCTAGGTTTCATTTCTGGAGTGACACCCTGAAGGCCTAGGGCAGTGACAAGTCCCTTGGGATCCTCTATAGCATCATCTCTGTCAGCTTGCCTACCGTGCCCTCGTGGGCTCTGCTCCTATGCATGTGGTCATCGCTTCTACTTTTGGAGCTTAGAAACAGCCTGCTGCAATTTTAGCTGAGGTGAAAATGTGCTCAGTTACAGAGAAATGGAGAAAAGGCATCAAGCAAAGGAACCCTTAACGTGACAGACCAGGCACAGAGGCGCTTCATCTTCAGTTTCCCTTCTGATCTCTCTTGCCCTGCCTTTTTTTTTTTTTTTTTGACAGATCTCACTGTAGCCTAGGTTGGCCACGTTTACAGCAACCCTCCTGCCTCAGCTTTCTGAGTTCTAAACTACAAGTGTGAGTCACCATGTCTGGCTTTTGGTTTCGAGTTTTTTTCTTCAGAACCCCATTCTGAAGTTACTAGCCCAGGTCGGCCTCTGTCTCCTTATCTGTACTCAATGCGATGCTTCCCTTGCTGGTGCTGTGAAGAGTGAGTGAATGAGAGCATCCGAGGTTCTTACTAGAAAGCCTGGCAAGCATCAGTCCTCTCCCTTTCCTTAGGCGGTTCTGATCCCGCCTCCCTGTCAGCCCTTTCTTTCAAGGAGCAGGCTGTGGTTGTAGTTCCAGTGCAGACCTGTTTGCTTAACAAGACAGCAGGGTGGTAGATGACTAAGAGCTATAACCACCACAATTAGAATACCTAAGCCTCAGGGTATGATGGCATGAGCCATGTTCCTCCACCCCCACACCCCACACCCCCTGACACGCTCAGGAGGCTCAGGCAGGCAGTTAGCGAGCTCGGTCTGGGCTACACTGCGACATCACGACATCACGACATCACGAGACCTGCCTGAGGTGAGGAAAACAAAACCAGAACCAAAAGCAAAACCGACTAACCAAACGGCCCCACTTCATGTGACTGCCTCAGCAGGTTCTTTTTCCGCTCTCAGCTTGGTCTTCCCCTCTACCTGTGGTGGTGTGGGGAGTGAGCTGCTCTCTTGGGTCCTCTGCTGTTGGGGGGTGGATGTGAAGGGCTCCCTTGGAGTCAGGGCACAAAGAAGATGGGAGGCTACAGGGAAGGTGGGGACAGAGAGATGTACCTTTCTAAGGCTGCGGCTCTCCCAGCTTGCGTAGGGCCGTCCCTGAGGCTTGGCGTAGGTGCTGGTCAGATGTGAATACAGGTGGCTCCCAACTTGCAATGGGTTGTAGGTGGGCCCCAGCTCCAGGCTGTCTAGTGTACTCTGGGGAGCAGAGGAGGCAACTTATTCAGGGAACTCAAGGTCGAGTGTGTAAGAGACTGGAGGAGGGTGAGGATGCTGAGACAGATGAGTCCCACTGGCACTCTGGCCCAGGAGAATGTGCTTGTGTTGGTGAGGGGACAGAAGTAGGTGGAACCTCTGGTGGTGAGAGACTCTGAAGCCCCTAATGCTAGTTCCAGGAAGTGTCACTGGGTTCTGGGAGAAACCAGAACTCCACAAGGGGTTCCGTGTGGAGGGGTTAGGGAAGGTGTGTCTCAGCTTACAGGGTGGGGTAGGGGTGCTCCTGTCCTCAAGACAAGTACAGGGAGTACCCAGCCCCAGGTGAGCGAACATAAACGGAGGACACTGGAGCACAGCATTCCTGAGTACTTAGGTTTTCCGGCCACAACATCCTGTGCCAGGAACCGCTGGCTCTGAAGTGAGACCCACCGAGGAAGCCATGGCACTCCTGCCCGCCTCTTTGCATTGCCATGGCTTCCAAGCAGCAAGCACAATCCCAGGCTCTGTCCTTTCTGCTCCTCGGCCAGCCAGCAGCTGAAGGTGGCTCCCCTTCTCCCAGCTCAGGCCTCCCCTCCCACCCCAACCTGAGGGGTGGGGCAGGGGAGGAAAGTCAGAATCTAGACAGAGAGAAGGAGGGGTGGGAGAGCAAGGAGGGAGGGAGTGTTCTGCCCCCAAGGCCTGCTGGCCTCTCTGCATCTGAGTTTCAGACTCCTTTTCTTTTCCCCAGCAGAGGCCCAGAGCATAGGCATGCACATAACATTACAGGGGCATAGGGTCACAGAGAGGTGCTCATATGTCTAGAGGTTTGGCACACACTAGAACACCATAATGGACATGAAAATCCACCCACATCTTCCCATTGGCCATCTCCCTTATTGCCCATCATTTCTTTGTTGCTCTGCCTCCCACCGCCTCCTCTGACCCCTTTCTCCCTACCGTGCTCATCTCTTCTGTGCAACCTCATGGTCTCTGTTCCAAGGTAGAAGTGCAGGTGAGGGGCGGGTCATGATGGCAGGCTTTTGCAAAGAGCTTCAGACCAAACTAAACAATTCAAATTTAACCATCTGGACCTGGACCTGGTCTGCCTGTGTGGACCTCCCTCCTCCCTGCTTGCTGTCAGCTTTTCCTTCTAGGACACGTGGCCTTCTTTTCTTCACAGCTAGTTACTTGTTGACATTCATTTCAATCGGTTTTCAGGGGTATGTGTGAACGTGCAAATGTTTATGCATGTTCTTCTCTAAGATGGCTGGCACTAATTCCCAATTGTTTGCCTATGACAAGACCTATTTGTCTTTCAGCTCTTCCTTCACAAACCTCACTTCCCTCAAACCAGTCTTGCCTCTCACTTCATTTTCACGCTGCTGCCTTAGTCAGACCTCCCACCTCATTTTCTATTCTTGCTTCTATCTCTGATGGCCACAACACACCTCAGCTGCTCACTGTATGTTCCCCCATGGCCCATTTTTTTATGCCTCACCCCTTCCCCAAGCTCCATTCTATTTTTCTCATGGTATAGTGGTTTAAATGAGATTCACCAGCACACCTCTTATATTTGCATACTTAGTGTCCAGCTGGTGAATACTTCGGAAAGATTAGGAGGTGTGGCCTTGTGGAGGAGTGTCACTGGGAGTGGGTTTTGAAATTTCAAAAGCCCACATCAGGTCCAGTGTCTCTCAGCTTGCTGCCTGAAGATCAGGATGTAGCTCTCAGCTACTGCCCCATCTCCACATGTGTGGCCCTGTCCCTGCCACACTGAGAGTGGACTAAGCCTCTGAAACTAAGAGAGCCCTCAGCTAAATGCTTTCTTTTGTAAGAAAAGCCATGGTCATATCTCTTCACAGCAATAGAACCTAAGACACATGGGCCCACTTGCCTCTATGATCTTTAGGCTGTCCCCGGGTGGGTCCTCAGCCAGCGGGGGGAAGAAGACAGGCAGCATCAGTTCCCTCGTGGCCACCAACTTCACCAGCAGTGTGAGGGAGGGAGATGGTGTGATCACATAGAAGCTGCAGGCAGGAACATTCTGGTTGTACCTGGGGATCAGGGGTTCCCCCCTGGCCAACAGCAGCCAGTCTCTTTTCTGCAACAAGGACATACATCTTCAGTCTTTGGTTTGTTTTGAGGATTACTCCAACTGAAGATTTCAACCTCTCTTTGGGTGTCAAGGAGAAAAGAGCCATTTCACTTTGGCCCTTTGGAGGGAAGAGCTTCTACTAGCACAAGTATGCTCTTCTTCCCTGTTCTAGGATATGACAGAGAGAACACACAAAAAGTTTTGAGTGATACGCAAACTAAGAAATGCTCTTGAACTTGAAGTGGGTTCATCTCAGACTGTGCGGGGTTTGGAAAATGTCAGTCTTACGGATGTTATATGTATGAAGTGTATTTGTGTATGTGTCCTCTTGCTGGCCAAGACCATTAACCACATCTGGCACAAATGTAACAGTTCTTCCGTTACACAGACCTCCTACTAGTTCTACCATCCTAACGTAAGAGAAATGTGGAAGAGAGCGGGAAAGGAGACGGCCAGCACTTTATGGAAGACAGACAAGGGGAACGGGGACCACCAGTACTGAGTGGGAGACAAGGGGAGTAACACCTGCTGCAGGTAGCTTTGGATTTACACCCAGAGAAATGTACTGCAGTAGGAGAGAGGAGGAAAAGCTCTGCCATCTTAACTCGGCACATGGAGTCTGGTGGTTGCTGGCAAGGGTTAGGGAACCTGTACATGCCTCCAAGGGAAAAAGCTCTGAATATTCGTGCGGTTGACAGTAGTGGGCTGATAATTTTGATGCTTCCTCAATAAAAGCATGGGTGGAGATAGATGATCTAGTCATCGGAAAGTTAACTATAACTATAATCATAATCATAATAGTGATTACGAATCTAATAATAATTCACAACAGTGGAATGCTTCCTCAGCCACAGACACTGTGTGAAAAGCACATGGAGGCCTTTAAAGTTCACACGCGGTTATTATTTTGCTTGTACCTAGAGGTTTTTCTGAAGAACAGATTCAAAATGTGATGCAAAGTCTACCTGAGGCTTACTAAATCCATCAAGCTGGGAGTGAATAATATTAAAACTATGATGTATGTATGTGTCACTGTATTTGCCTAGCCTGGGGACACAGCCTTGCTAAATCTGAAGGAAGAGTAGGCAATTGCTTAACTTCCATTGGCCAAAGTAACTTCTGCTTGGGTCAGGATTCAGTCATCATTGTTGTTCAGTCTTCTATTCTGTACCAGTTCAGGCATTTGTTTCTAAGTTTGTTAAAAATTTATTGAGTGTGGAACTGGAGAGATGGCTCAGCGGTTAAGAGCACTTGCAGAATTGAACACTTGGGTTCAATTCCTGGCAGCCACGTGGTGGCTCACAACATGTGTAACTTGGGTTTGGGGGTATTTGACACCGTCTCCTGACTTCCTCGGGCGGTAGGCAAGCACGCGGTGCGCAGACGCTCAGGCAGGCAGTGCATTCACACATGCACTCTTTCAGAGTGAGGGGCCTTCTGTTCCAAGCACGCGGTGCGCAGACGCTCACTGGACACACTGTGTCCTCTTGGCGTGTATAATAGAGTAAGGGGGAGCCTGTGAAGGGTGTTTGTCTAAGTTTCACATGACCCACTCATGGGAGTGGTCTATTTTTAGGAATGACTGTCCTGAGTCCCCATATCTCTCAGTCCTAAGCAAGCTGATAATGTCAACCACTTGACTAAGACTTGACTAAGCATAAGACAGTTTGCCACTGGGGCAATGAGCTATGGGCTCATGTGATGCTCCTTGGATCCCATCATTAAGGAAGAGTCACACATGCTACAGTGTGAGCCTGATGAGCACGTCTGAGAGTTGCACACAGAACACCTTTGAACACCAGACTCCCAGTCGACTGACTTAGAGCTAAGTTTCCGTTAGTCAGCTGGCATTTAGCAAGGACTGCAATCTCAGAATCTCTGCTAATGTTAGGACTGTCAGAGGAGGTTTTTTTTTTTTCCTCTCTCTCCTTGGATTTTTTTTTTTTTTTTGGTTGCTGAAAGAATTGTATAGAATGCTTTAAAACTAATGGGCTTGATAAAATAGAGAAGCTGCCACAAAGCTCTGGCAGGGAAATAAAATGTTCTTATTAGGTGGCTACATTCATTGCTCATTGATCTTCAATTTTCTAAGAATGTCTGGAGAATTTGAGGAGGAAGGAAGTTGAACTTTCTGGCTCCTGTTTAGGAGTGTTGATTTCTAGAAGAAAAGGAGTCACCAACCTTCCCCAGTTGTGATGTTCGGCTACAACAATGTCTAATCTGGCAAGATATGCCAGTGGTGCAAAAGTGGCACAAATGTCATGAAAATAACAACTTTCTGATTGCATTTAATGCCAGCTTCACAAGCTGGAACCCATTCCTGACAGCATTATCGGAGCCCAGCATCTGTGGCTCAGCCAGGCCATAGACCCTAGGGGAGGACCTACATCTATTACTCGGCCATGTGGACATAGCATTAAACCAACCCTGATGGCTTATCCTTATACCCCTACATTAGAGCATCTCTCAGCCCTCACCAGAGAAGCTTCTTTTTGGCAATAGTGATTAACTCAAACCCACAAGGTCTCTTGTCAAGGTGCAGAGAATAAGAGACTGTGGGTATTGGGATCATGCTCCTCCACCCAAGGCTCAGGGATCTCGGGGCAGGAGAGGGGCAGAAGACTGTGAAAGCCATAGGCAGTAGACGACATCAAGGAATCTGTTTTCTGGACATAGCAGGTTGCTGCACATGTGAATCTGCAGCAGATAGCGTGCAGAAGACAAGCTATTTTAATGTGTGTGGGTGTTTTGCTTGTAAGTATATCTGTGTATCACATGCATGCCTGGTGTCTGTGGAGGTCAGAAGAGGTCATCACATATCCTGGAACTCTAGTTACAAAAGGTATGAGTAACTGTGAGGGTTGCTGAATAGGTCTTTTATAAGAGAAACAAGTGTTTTTAACTTCTGGGCCATTTCTCCAATTCATTGGTTTAATATTTTAAAAAAAGTCAATCAATAGATTATACTATGTCACCTTAGTTAGGGTTGCTATTGCTGGGAGGAGTCTGAGACAACTCTTATAAAGGAAAGCACTCAGTCGAGGCTGGCTTACGGTTTCAGGCTTAGCTCATTATTGTCACGTCGTAAACATGGTGGCATGTAGGCAGACATGGTGCTGGAGAGGGAGCGGAGAGTTCTATATGTTGATCCACAGGCAGCAGAAGGAGACTGTTTTCCACACTGGGCATAGCTTGAGCACATGAGACCTCAAAGCCTGTCCCCACAGTGACACACCTCCTTCAACAGGCCACACCTACTCCAGCTTGGCCACAACTCCTAATAGTGCCACTCCCTGTGGGCCAAGCATTCAAACACATGAGTCTATGAGGACCATATCAGTTCAAATCGCCACATATGCTAATAAGATAAAGATAAAAATTATATAATCATCCAGTAGGTTTAATTTTTTTTAAACAGAATTCGATACCCTTTCACAATAAAAGCAAACAACAACCTAGAAATAGGGGTAGAATTTTCTTATCTTGACAACGTGCTAAAACAAATATAAAACAACAAAAATAAAAAAAATAATCTCATAATTGCCTGCTGTAGTGGCTCAGACCTATAATTAGAACATTTGGGAGGCTGACATAGGAAAACCACCACAAGTTCAAAACCAACCCGATCTAGGTGGTTAGTTCTAGGCCAACCTAGACTGCAGTGTAAAACTCTTTCAAAACAAACAAGCAGGCAACAGCCTCCTTTCCCAACTAAAGTCCCTCAAAATTCTAACTCAAGGTAGTGCACTGTGGTGATTTGAAAAAGAATGGCCCCCACAGGCACATATATTGGAATGCTTAGTTATCAGGGAGTGGCACTATTAGGAGTGTGGCCTTGTAGGAGGAAGTGTGTCACTAGGAGTGGGCTTTGAGGTTGCAAAAGGCCAAGCCAGGCCCAGTGGCTCTTTCTTCCTGCTGCCTGCCAATCTGGATGTAGAACTCCTAGCTACCTCTCCAGCACCATGCTGCCTGCATGTCATCATGCTCCCTGACATGATAATGAACTAAACCATTGATATTATAAGCAAGTCCCAATTAAATGTTTTCTTTTGGTTCTCAAGACAGGATTTCTTTGTGTAGCCCTGGCTGCCCTAGAACTTGCTCTGTAGACCAGGCTGGCCTCCAACTCATAGAGGTCTGCCTGCCTCTGCCTCTTGAGTGCTGAGATTAAAGGCATCTGCCACCACTGTTCAGCTTAAATGCTTTCTTTTATAAGACTTGCTGTGGTCATGGTGTCTCTTCACAACAACAGAACACTAAGACACATACTTTGCTGCCAAGAGCAGAAACAAATATATCTGATCGTATTCCTCATCTACAACACGATATTGGAGATGCGCTGAAGACCAGAGGCCTTTTAGGAGGTTAGGACTCTGAGTACGACCCCAGGCGAGAAGCATCCATGATGATGCCAGGGTATTAACAATATGGCACATGGGAACTAGATGCTGAATTTGGTGTAAAACAGCAGCATGACAGTTACCACGTCAGAGAGCTATGGCAAACCCATGCTGTTATAAGTGCTGTGAAAGCCAAGTAATATGTAGCAATAGACACAAGGGTGGAAAAGGGTAAAAAAAAATGAGTAGGGACAAGGTATGATGGGGCAAAAAAAGCCTCACAGTGAAGGCATTTAGGCAAAACCTGGAAAAAAGTGAATAGAACTTTGTCAGACCGACAGAGTAAGGGCACAATGCGTAGAGGTGTGAAAGAAGTTAGTATATTTGGAGAACAGTTAGTAATTTATTAGTGTGTCTGGATGAGACTGGAGAAGGCCGGTGACTCCATGTTAGCCTTCTGCCTTCATACTTACTCCCCTCCCAACCTTCAGGGTCTAGCTTCTACACTTGTTCCATTTTTTAAAAATCCTCTTGACCTGCCGTCACCCCATTCTCAGTTTACAATCTTGGTCTTTACTCTTTGCCTGTCCAGCCAAGGACTTTCTGTTTCCCCACCCATTCACAGCCCAACCAGCCTGTGTGCTCAGACTGGACACATCCTGGCTG